GTTAGCGTGTGTGATGTGTGTGCTGTGTGGTTAGTGTGTGTGTGTGGCTACTATGTGTGATGTCTATATTGTGTATGGTTAGTATGTGTGATGTCATGGTGTGTGTGTGTGGTTAGTGCATGTAATGTATGTGGTATGTGTGTGCTGTGTGTGGTTAGTGTGTGTGTGTTGTGTGTGGTTAGTATGTATGCTGTCTATGCTGTGTGTGTGGTTAGTGCGTATGATGTATGTGTTGTGTGTGATATGTGTGCTTAGGGTGTATGATGCATGTGTGGTGTGTGGTTAGTATGTGTGATGTCTACGTTGTGTGTGTGGTTAGTGTGTGTAGCTCATGTGTTTGAGGTTCTTCCGACTGTTCTGTAAACATCAGCAACCCCACAGTCTTCCCACATGAGTGCAGTCTCCCGCTCATCCGAGGGAGGGAGAAAGGAGGATGTCTTCCTGCCATGGGGCATCTGGATGGACAGAAGATCCAGGTGCTGGCATCATCCATGGGCAGGGTCCCCATGGACTCCTGGCATGTGGTCTCTGGAGGCCCAGGCTCATAGTGATTGTGGCAGCTGACTGTCTGGGCCAGGGGTTTGTCTGAAAATCCCAGTTGCTGTCACAGTTAAAGGTGCTGTTGTACCAAGGGGGTGGGCACCACACCAACCCTCTGTGGAGGAATGTCCACTTGGTTGCGGTAGCTGTGACCACACAGATAAAACCCGTGCATGTCAGGAACAGACTGTCTGTGGGGTACTGATTCAGGTAGTTGCAATTGCTTCGCCTGCCTTCCTTTGACTCTTGACTTTAGACTTCTGCCAACTTTTGACTTTTGTCTCTTATGGGGGCTGGATTGGTCTGAGGCCATGTGGTTCTTGAGCCTTGAACCCTGGCATGGTTGTACCCAGCAGGCAGCATCAAGTATCCCAGGTCAGCCTGCCTGACTTCCTGTTCTCCCCCGTGACCCTCCGCCCAGGTGTGGCTGACCAGCTGCAGACCAACTACGCCAGTGACCTGAGAAGTATCCTGAAAACGCTGTTTGAAGTCATGGCGACCAAGCCGGAAACGGATGACAAGGAGAAGCTGAAGAAGGGTGAGCACCCACTCAGTCGGCCTCTGGGCCTGTGAGATTGTCCTGTCTGCCATCCACAGGAAGCAGGGGACAGAAAACCTCGACATTCAACCCTGGGGACAGAAGCAGCTACCCACTGTAGGGTCTCCGTGGCCTGTACACTCCACATGGAAATGGCTTAGCAGTACCAGGCTGTCTGCTATGGGGACCGAGGGGCAGAGCTGCCAACAGAACTGGGGTCACAGCTGGGTGGGCAGGACACAGCCCTCCATACATGTGATCGTACACGCAGGTGCTAACTGCCCGTGCTTCCCAGCAAGGCAGCCGTCTGCTTATTGGGGGCAGGCGGGGAGTAGACCCGGAGAGGCACGGTGTCTGCCTTCTGACTTCCATCCATCCCAGCGGTCTGCTGTCCAGATCAAAGGGAGTGGACTGTGAGTCCACTTCTCCTCAAAGCATCACAGCCACACGTATCGGCACAGACTCACACCCAGTATAGACTCACGCATGCGCTTTCTCTCTCTCACACACGTGTGGTATCAGGACTGGGACTGAGGCAAGTCCCAAGGAGGGCAGCCCTTCTCTCCCTGTGAAGTTGTGACAGGGTCCTGGGATGGGGAAGGATATGCGCCTGTGTCCCCCCCAAACCACATGCGGGGATGTTGTTGTGGTTAGATGCTGTGGAGTTCATTCTAACATGTAGTGACCCTTAGCATCGCAGAACAAAACACTGACCCATCCTGCGCTGGCCTCACATTTGTTAACGTTTGAGCCCATGACAGCTGCCTCAGTGCCATTTCATTAAGAGTTTTCCTCTTCTTCAGTGACCTCACTTTCCCAAGCATGATGTCCTTCTCCAGGGACTGGTTCCTCCTAATAACTAACATGTCTGAAGTATGAGAGACGAAGTCTCACCATCTGGCTTCTAAGAAGCATTCTGGCTGCACTTCTTCCAACACAGATTGGTTTGTTCCTTTAGCAGCCCATTGTATTTTCGGTATTTTTCTCCAACACCATCGCTCAAATTCATCAGTTCTTCTACAGTCTTCCTTATTCACTGTCCATCTTTAACATGCATATGAGGTTATTGAAAATACCATGGCTTGGGTCAGGCGTACCTTAGTCCTCAAACTGACATCTTTGCTCTTGAACACTTTAAAAAGGTCTTGTGCAGCAGATTTACTTAATGCAATACATTGCTTGATTTCTTGACTGCTGCTTCCATGAGTGTTGATTGCAGATTCAGGACAAACAAGTCCTTGACAGCTTCAATCTTTTCTCCGTTTATTATGATGTTATTTATTGGTCCATTTGAAAGGATTTTTGTTTTCTTTACATTGAGGTACAATCTATACTGAAGGCTAGGGTTTTTGATCTCCATCAGTAAGTATTTTAAGTCCTCTTCCCTTTCAGCAAGCAAGGTGTGTCATCTGCATATTGCAGGTTGTTAACGAGTCCTCGTCCAATCCTGATGGCATGTTCTTCTTCATAGAATTCAACATCTGGGATTATTTGCTCAGCATACAGATTGAATAAGTATGGTGAAAGAATACAACTCTGGTGCACACATTTCCTGATTTAAAATCATTCAGGATTACCTGTTCGGTTTGAATGACTGTCTCTTGTCTATGTATAGGTTCCTCATGAACACAAGTATTCTGGAATTCCAATTCTTCACAATGTTACCCATAATTTGTTATGAGCCATACTGTGAAAAGATTCTGCATAGTCAATAAAACATCTCTCTAGTATTCTCTGCTTTCAGCAAGTTGAATCTGATATCAGCAATGAAATCCCTAGTTCCACATCCTCTTCTGATTCCAGCTTGAATTTCTTGCAGCTTCCTGTCGATGTACTGCTGCAACCGTTTTTGGATTATTTTCAGCAAAATTTTACTTTCATGTGATATTAATGATATGGTCCGATATTCCCCACATTCAGTTGGGTCATCTCTCTTTGGAATGGGCACAGATATGGATCTCTTCCAATCAGTTGGCCAGATAGCTGTCTTGTAAACTTCTTGGCAAAGATGAATAAATGCCTCCAGTGTTACATCGATTTCTTGAAAGATTTCCAGTTGTAGTCTGTCAACTCCTGGAGTTGTGTTCTTTGTGAATACCTTCAATGTACCTTCGACCTCTTCCTAGGGTAGTACCATTGTCTCTTGACCATATGCTACCTCTTGAAATGGTTGAACATGGCCTTTTATGGTACAGTGACTGTGTATTCCTTTCATCTTCTTTAAATACTTGTAAATATCTGATTGATTTCTGGGTAGCGTTATCATGTATGACAATCTCAGCTTGTTGTCCGCTGTTGTTGGTTCTCTGTCCAAAGATCATCCTTTAGCATTTTTCTGTAAAGTTGGTCTAGTCCTTACAAATTCATTTAATTTCTCTTTTTCAAGAAATGTCCTAATTTCACCTTCGTATTTGAGGTAGAGCATTGCAATCTTTTTCTTTCAGAGTTGTGTATGTCGTCCCATTGCCTTCTTGCCTGCATGATTTTCTGCTGAGAAATCAGAGCTTAGTCGTATTGGTTCTCCTTTTAGGGCACTTTTCTCTTTTTCCCAAGCTGATCCCAGGATTCTTGCCTTGTCTTTGATTTTAGAAAGTTTGATTATGATAGGTCTTGGTGATTTTCTTTTGGGATGTATCCTGTTTGGAATTTGTTCAGCTTCTTGTATGCTTACCTTCTCGTGTTTCATGATGCTAGGGGTGTTTTCTTCCAACAACTCTTCGACAATTTTCTCTGTGTTTGTCTTTTACTTATCAGGAATTCCAATCACCTGTAAGCTGTTCCTCTTCATGGTGTCCCACATAACTCTTAGGCTTTCTTCAGATTTTTTCATTCCTTTTTCCTGATTGTTCTTGTGTTGTTGTTGTTGTTGTTATGTTCTGTGGAGTCGTTTTCGACTCATAGCAACCCTGTACAGGATTTCCGAGGCTGTAAATCTTTACAGGAGCAGAAAACCTCATCTTTCTCTTGCGGAACAGCTGGTAGTTTCGAACGGCTGACCTTGCAGTTCGCAGCCTGATTTGTAACCACTACGCTACCAGAGATTTATCTTGAAGCTCACTATTTCAGGCTTCCATTATTTCACATCAATTCCTTTGCCCTTTGAATGTACTGTGTCCATTTCTGAGATCTTAGTATTAATCTTCTGGATTTCTAATTGCAGGTTTCATACTGTTTCAAAATTTGTAATTATTTTGTCTGTTTGTTCTTGCAGTGTTTTCCTGAATTCTTCTAAAGTTTTTATTTTGTTCTCCTTGCTTTCCTCAATCTTTCTGTCAGTCCTGTGAAGGCACCTAATTAGCATTCTTTTGACTTCTTTTTCAGTTATTTCTATTACCTTTTCTTCTTCAGAAATGTTTCCTGGCTCTGTATCTTGGTCATTTATTTAAGCCATTCTCTCTTGTTTCTTCCTGTGAGCTAAAATTGTCTGTTGTCTCTGAGGCATTGTGGAGTTGTCATGATTTTAAAAACAGGCAGCATGGTTGTTGGACCTGGAGGAAAGAAATCTCTGGTTAGCTCTTGCAATTCAAGGAGCTCATGATGTGGTTGTGGAGGGGATGTTCCTGGTCCTAGGTGGAGTTCATATTGGCCTCAATGTTATCTGTATTCAGGGCACTCAATCCAAAAGTAGTTCGTGGAGCCCTTTGATGGAGCTGGTTTCATTGTCTGTTAGGACCACAGAGAAGCTGAGGGCAGGGGACTGGTTAAATCTGGACTGGTGGCACTGTGGGTTTTGTAGGTCTGGAGCTGAGCCCACCAGACTCCAGGTACCACAGCTGCACACCATAGCAGCACAGCTAGCTCACAACTCACACTAGTGTGGCTCCCAACCATGTGCCTCTGAACTCCCGGAGATTAGGGTCTGTGCTGGGGGTGGATGAGCGTGGGAGCTTGCCACACTTCTGGTCACCAGGAGAACATGGGGTGAAAGAAACCCCACCTTTCCCACTGTCCATGTGAATCTGCTCTGCCAGGCCTCCCTTTGCTGACAAAGCTGCTCACCAGATGGTGGTTGGACCGCATTTGGCCAGCTGTTCAGCAGTCAGTCTCTCTCTCTCGCTGTCCCTGCTTAGCCTCACCTCCCAGCAAGCACTGCATCCACCTCTCTAACCTTTCCTCTGAAGTTCAGGGTGCCAGAATTTTCATCATGTCTTATTTGGCCTTTTGTATCTTGTTGCAGAGGGTCCATGTAATGCATCTGCCTAATCTGCCCTCTTGCCAGAAGTTCTTCTTCCATCTTCTTTTGATGCTTTCTGCATCATTCGATATTTGATGCATGAAATCCTTCAATATTTCAGGTTGAGACTTGAATTTCCTCTTCAATTCTTTTACTTTGAGAAACACTGAACGGGTTCTTCCCTTCTGGTATTCTAACTCCAGAGCTTTTCACTTTCATTATAATTCTTGACTTCATTTTTTGAGCTCTTTAAAATGTTCTGTTTAGCTCTTTTACCTCCTCATTTCATCTCTATTCTAGAGAGCAAGTTTCATAGTCTCTCCTGACATCCATTTTGGTCTGTTCCTTATCTTCTTAATGACCTTTGGCTTTCTTCCTCTATGATGTTCTTGGTCATCCCACAACTTTTCTGGTTTTCTGTCTTTAGTGTCTAGTGCACCAAATCTGTTGTTGAGATGATCTCTAAATTCAGGTGGGATATGTTCAAACTCATATTTTGGCTCTCATGGACTTGTTTTTAAAATTTTTTCTTTCAGCTTCAGCCTGAACTTGCATATGAGCAATTGACAGTCTGTTTCACAGCCTGCCCCTGGCCTTGTTTTGGCTGATGAGATGGAGCTTCTCCACCGTCTTTTTCCACAGATGGAGTCAGTTTGATTTCTGTGTATTCCGTCTGATGAGGTCCATGTGTATACGTTGTCTTTTGTGTTGTTTAAAAAAGGCATTTGCAATGCAGTCATTGGTCTAGCAAAATTCTGTCATGCAATCTTCAGCATCATTTTTGTCACCGAGGCCTTATTTTCCAATGACTGATCCATCCTCTTTGTTCACAACCTTTGCATTCTAGTTGCCAGTAATTTTCAATACATCTTGATTGCATGTTTGATCAATTCCAGACTAAAGACGTTAGTAGAATTCTTCAGTTTCATCATCACTGGGTTTAGTGGTTGGTGCGTAAATTTCAGTACTAGTCTTCCTTGTAGGCGTATGGATATTAACCTATTACAGATAGCATTGTACTTCAGGATACATCTTGAAATGTTCTTTTTGACTATGAATACAATGCCGTCCTCAATTTGTCCTTTCTGGAATAGTAAACCATATGGTTGTCAGATTCAAAATGGCCAATACCAGTCCATTTCAGCTCACTAATGCCTAGAATAGGAGTCCTAGCCTAGTGAACCAGGAACTGAGCTGCTAACTACAAGTTCAGTAATGTGAATCTCCCAGTTCCTCCACAAGAGAAAGATGAGGTTTTCTGCTCCCGTAAACATTTATAACCTCCAAAACCCTATACGAGGGCACTATGAGTCGGAACTGACTCAGTAGCACATAACCACCATCACCACCAATACTAGGCTATCCATCTTCCTTCGTGAGTTCCCTTTCATTTTTGACAACTTCCATTTTACCCTATTCTGGAAGAAAGCCCCCAGGTCACCCGAGGGTCCAGTTGGCTCAGCCTGCCAGAGCCCTGCACCTGGCTACACCGTCTCCCAGACCCAGGGCATTCTTGACCAGTGGCTTTGGGGAGAACATTCCTCAGAACTGTCTTTATAAACGGAGTGCTCCTCCCTTGGGGCCTGCAAGGACACTTGCTGAGTTCTCTGGAGCTGCTATGACAGAAACACCACAAGGGGGGGACTTTGACGAACAGATTCATTCTTTCACAGTTTCAGAGGCTATCGTCTAAATCTAGGCAGTTCTCAGGGAAGGCTTTCTTCCTCTGTTGACTCTGGAAGAAGGGCCCTGTCTCTTTTCTACATACATGGGGCTGCTGTCCCTTGTTCATCTCTCTGTGCCTTGGCATCTGGCTTCCCTTGAGTGGGTATAGGAGCTTCTCAGCACAGGGACCCTTGGTTTAAAGCACACACTTTATTCCCATCTCTTCTTTCTTGGTGGTCCTGAGGTCCCTCTTCCCAGCTCATTTCTTTCTCCTACCACCCCCCCCCCCCCACCCCAGAATTCCCCTGATGTCTGATCAGGACTGTGACCAGCCCCTGACAACTACTTGAGGGACAATTACAGCATTACGTAATTGCTAAATTACATCATTATATAACATCAGACCACTGGAAATCATGGCCCAACCAAGTTGACACATTTTGGGAGACACAATTAAATCCATGACAGACACTGAACTACACAGAGCCCTCAAGCTACCTCAGGGGATCACAATCCATGGACCCTGACCACCCAGGCAGACAGTACAAGGCTCCCCATGTATGGAGGTCACAGTGAGAAGGGGGAAATCCCTGAACCTTGGGGCCCACCATAATGTACAGACCAGGCCCTCAGACCAGGAGTATGGGTAAGTGCCCAAACCCTTGGGGGACCCTGTGACCTGTGGGGAATTAGACAGGTGGTAGACAGAAGGAAGCTGGAGGACAGGTTATCCCATCCCAAGGAATGAAGCCAACCTGCACAGGCCTTAGCTCAGGAGACAAAGGAGCAGAGAGACCTGGCTGCGTGACTGACCACATGGTGGATCCTGTACTTGGCCACACAGGTGGCCAGAAAGGACTTGTCCTTGACAAGACCTTGGTCTAGGCACCCCACTGCCCTTCCCTGCTGAGGCTGAACTGCCCCCATCCCCGACCTTAAGCCCACCATAGAGCCCAGCTGTTCTTGGATCCTGAGGCCTAGCATCTTCAGAGCCCCCTAGAGCCTTAGCCCCTGCTAAAAGCTCTTCCCCAGCCCCCATGTCTGGGAGGGTCCTGGGGTGTGTGAATCAGACCTCAGGTCACATGCTCTCTCTGAGAGGCCATTGTGTGGGTCTGGGTCATTGCTTAGCGGGCCTGGCAACAGGCAGCCATGGTGAGGAGAGGGGCGGGGTGGGGATCCTTCTTTCCTGAGGACAGGTGGGTGAGAGGCCGTGTGGCTATTCTGACCCAACTCATGGGGTGAGGGGAGTGCTTGCTCACCACCAGCCTTCCCAGGGCCCTGCAGCCCAAACCCCACACCTTAGGATCCCACACCCTGGGCCATCCACCCTAGGGTCCCACACCCTGGACCCTGGACCCTAGGACCCCACACCCCACACTCCGGGTCCTGTACCCTAAGATCCACACCCTGGATCGTGAACCCTGGAGCAGACTGATAGAGGCCTGTCTTGGATCCTGAGGGCCTTAGAGGGCCCCTTGCCAGGGTCAGCGCTGGGCCTGCCAAGGCAGTAGACACGAACTACGGGGGGAGCTCTATTCATGTGTACAAGATTGTGAGTGGATTTGAATCCCAGCATCAGGGACCCCATGCTCAGGGGTCCCCGATGAACCAGCCCTGCTGGCAGCACCAGGGTATGTGGTCCCTGAGTCCCTAACCCCGAGGGCATCCCCTCTGGGGACTGGTGACCACCGCTCTTTCTCATGTAGTCACCCAGACACTGCGGAGGGCGGCCTTGGAGGACTGCGCTTTATGCCAGGAGACCCTGTCATCCTCCGAGCTCACCGCCAAGGCACGGGATGGTGATTTCGAAGGTACAGGGACCCAGCATGCAGGACTTTGTTTCTGGGGGTTTCCATCTTTCAGCCTGGGAGCCATTGCAAGCTGGGGCAAGAGGGCATCAGGCAAAGGACAAGACCAGGTGGTCTGGGCTGTGGGTGTCTGAGGGTCCGGCAGAGTTTGCCCAGAGCTGAGCTGACCCCATTTCTTGACCCCTCACCTGTGTCAAAGGCCTTTGAAATGGGTGGCCCACCAGAGTGAGCCACGTATATGAGGGGGCTTCTGAAAATTCATGGGAAAAGAAAATGGAATTTTTTTCACTAACTTTTTGAAGCCCCCCTCATATCTTTATATAAGGAGCTCTGGCAGTGTAGGCGATCTGCTAACTGCAAGGTCAGCAGTTCAAAACTACCAGCTGTTCCACAGGAGAAAGATGAGGCTTTCTGATCCCGTAAAGATTTACAGGCTCAAAAACCCTGTACATGGTCGCTATTAGTCGGAACCGACTCCACGGCACATCACAACAACAACAATGACTTTGCCAGTAAGCGCAGTGGCTCCATAGGATAAGCACTGGACTCAGAACTACAAGGCTGGCTGTTTGAGACTACCATCTGCTCCTTGGAAGAAAGATGAGAGGCCGTCTGCTCCCACAAAGCTTTAAAGCCTTGGAAACCCTATACAGGGTTGCTATGAGCAGGAGCCAATTGGAAGGCGCAACAACAATGACTTTGCTACAGTAACTAGATCACGTGCAACATTTGCATTAACAGGTGCAACAGTGGGCTCAAATGTATCAAAGATCATGAGGTGGTGCAGCCCTACGTAAGCTGGAGGGAAGCCTGGTGGGCAGTGTGGGGTCAGCACTGGGCTGCTAACCTCAAGGTCGGCAGTTCAAACCCCCCAGCCACTCCATGGGAGAAAGATGAGACAGTCAGCTTCCACAGAGTTGTCTAGTCTAGAAACCCTGAAAGCAGTTCTCTGTCCTACCAGGTTGCTACTAGTTAAGAGTCAGCTGGATGGCATGGGTTTTACATGAGCTGGGGCCAACTTAATGGCTACTCTGGTAGCGTAGTGGTTACGAATCGGGCTGCGAGCCGCAAGGTCAGCAGTTCGAAACTACCAGCTGTTCCGCAGGAGAAAGATGAGGCTTTCTGCTCCCGTAAAGATTTACAGCCTCAGAAACCCTGTACAGGGTTGCTATGAGTTGGAACCGACTCCACGGCACATAACCACCACAACGAGCAACAGCTGACTAGTGTTTGACCAGACACCTGGGTACAGTAGCCTGGCCAAGACGCATAAAATTATCTATCCATCATACAGGATGTGATTACACAGGGGCCTGGCCTTGAGCTAGGTGGCAGGTGTTGCCCCTCTTCCCTCCCTCCCCCCAACACACCCACCCACATGCACAGAGTCCTGGTGTGGTGCTGTAGGATAAGCACTGGACTGCAAGGTCGGTGGTTTAAACTCACCAGCCATTCCTTGGAAATCCTATATAGGGGCGCTGTAAGTCAGAACCAACTCAACTACTTAACAACAACCCCCTCCTCCCAAATGAAACAAGACGATTTACTTTGTACTCATCATTTAACATGTAACATTTATCATTTCATTTTGGTTGGTGTCTAGATTACTCTCTAGAATAGGCCTTCGAGTCTAAGAGAATCTTCAAGTATTAAATCATTGCTCCAACTTATTATACTGTGAGTATTTCTAGTGACATCTCAGGCCATGGATACAAAGGTAGATAAGGCACAAGACCCTTAGTCTTGTGATGGGAGCTGACAAACAGCCGGTTACAGTACAATGTGGAGAGAACTTGGAATACCTGTGCCCAGATCTGATGTACAAGGTCAGCAGGAAGGGAGAAAGGAGGGTTACTTTAAGATGCATTTGGGGGGGGCTGCCAAAAAGGAAAAAGGGGGAAGAAATCCACTCTTTCAAAGCCTTGATTTATAAAGGACTGTTGAATAGTACAGACAGAAAATAAAAATACAAGCCAAAAATACCATCTGGAAGGAATGACCATTCCAGTAAGTGACTGAAGTCTGTCGGGGGTGGGCAGACTGGAGACAGGAGAACTGAGACACCGTGGGGTCCACCTGGTCAGAGCCTGGGCTGACCACCCGGGCCCCACTGGCTCTCTCTGTGACAGACCCTCCTGAATGGGTCCCGGATGAGGCCTGCGGCTTGTGCACCACCTGTAAAGCACCTTTCACCGTCATCCGCCGGAAGCACCACTGCCGGAGCTGCGGAAAGGTAGGCCGGCCACCAGGGAGCCTGAGGCTTGGGGACTTCCGGGGCAGGTAGAACACAGTCCCCAGAATATAGGCCTCGTGTCTACAAACAGAGGACCTGAGTCTGGAAGCCAGTACAGAGCCACAGGGGCCAATGGAGTCCAGGTGCTGAGGCCCCCAGTTCTGTGCCCCGGCTGACTCCGGACACAGCGCATTTATACCAGTAAGTGGAGGGTGCCCACACCCTGTCCTAGCCACTTAAAAGCTGGGGGCAGGAGAGGGTCCGAATTAGATCCCACCACAGCCAGGATGGAGTCCTGGTGGTGTAGTGGGTTAGGTGTTGGGTTGCTAACTGCAAGGTTGGTGGTTCAAACCCACCAGTCGCTCTGCGGGAGAAAGAATGCTGTCTTCTACATAGAGTCTCTATGAGCCAGGGATTGGCTGGATGGCAGGGAGCTTTTTACAACATATGAGGAGCCTTGATTGCACAATGGGTAAACCTTGTGTTGCTAAGTGCAAAGTGCAGGCTCCTCAGTTCAAACCCACCAGCCACTCTGTGGGAGAAAGACGAGGCTGGCTGTTCGCGGAGAGATCCGTAGGCCCAGAAACCCTAAGGAGCGGTTCTATTCTGTTCTACAGGGATGCTGTGAGGTGGGATTGACTCGGTGGGCTTGGCTCTTCTGGTTTACAGACTGGATGGGACCAAGACCTGCCACAGGTTTTCTGGCTGATTCACGCAGACCTCATCCTGCGCCCAGCCTGGTCTGGGTGGGAGGGAAGGCAAGAGGCACCTGGGCCTGGGGTGGGTCCCACCACCGGCCTCAGAGGCGTGAGGCCCAGGGCTGGTGGGGCACAGGGCTGGTGGACCTGCCTGCCCCTCCCTACACACCCTGCTGCCGAGTCCACTGCTGCTGCCCCCCCCGCCCCCCCCCTCCCCCCCATGTTCCAGATCTTCTGTTCCCGCTGTTCCTCACACTCGGCGCCGCTGCCACGCTACGGCCAGATGAAGCCGGTCCGCGTGTGCACACACTGCTACATGTTCCACGTGACACCCTTCTACAGTGACAAGGCGGCCATCTAACATGGCACCCATTCCACCGTGGGCATCAAGGACTCGAGTTCCCGGGAAGGAGATCATGGTTCCTGCCATGGCCCCCGCCATGGTCCCCACTTCCTACCCACCTCAGGCCACGCCACTGGAGGGTTTCATTGCATTTCATCTGCTGCTGCTGCTGTGGGGAGCCAGGGGGTCACCCCAGCTTTCAGAATACCAGAGTCCTCATCCCACCTACCCTGGGCTTGGTTTTGTGCCCGCAGGTGCCTGGTGGCCATCCTGGGCAGGGTGTCTGTCCAGCCAGGGGTTCAGGTTTCCACCCTGGCCACCTGCCTCCGCACTGAGGGACTGCTCAGTGTCCTCCTGTACCCCGGTGGTAGGGTCACGGGCTGAGCTTCAGGCAGCCCCAGCCCTCAGGTGCCAAATCTGGGGTAGGTGGAGGATGCACATGGAACCGTGTGGTTTGCGTTCCAGAGGCCTCAGACATAGCAGGCTTCACCCAGGGCTTGGGTAGGGACTGGCCCTTTCTCTCCAAGGGCCCTAGCCCACAGTTCCCCAAACCACATTTCCCTGTGCCGCCACCCCCCACCCGCTGCCCTGCCTCAGGACCTTGGCAAAGACATTTCTTCTCATTGGGGAATGCAGAGCATGGGCTCCGCGTGCCCTGTTACGCAGGTGAACCCCTACCTGCCCACCAGAAGAGTGGCCAGCTCCCAAAGCAGAGGGTCCCAGTGAGTGCGCTGCCCCTTCCCTCTGGACCCTTCAATGTCCTGGACCCTCTGCAGACCCAGGAACAGCCAGGCCAGGCCCAGGTGCTGGTGGTCCCAGCACAGACACTTCCTCAGGCTTCAGTCTCAGGCTTCTCATCGCAAGGACGGATGCAGTTTTATTTTTAGAGAGAGAACATACCTGACGCTTCTTTTATAAGAGAGAAGACTCCAGTCATACCTTACGAGGGGATAAATGTGCACAAAGATGGTTTCTGTGGGGGAACAGAAAAGTATATCTAAGAAATGGAGTTTATTCTGTATTTGAGATTATTTTTATTTTCTAAATGCTGTAATATGGAGCCATTTCCATAAATCTATTTAAGGATTGCAGATGTGCCCGTTTCTTCTTGTAAGAACCGACTCTGTTTCCTCCCGCTGGGAAACCCCAGTTCCTTGGCTTTGGGCCTTTTGGCACAATTCGGGACCAGGACGTGCTCCCTTCATGTCCAGTCCCCAGCCACTTTCATCAGTAGTGCCCCAGGAGATGGGGGCCCTATTCCAGCCATACAAGCCCCAATTCATGTCATGGAGGGCCCAACCGTAGCCTCCCCACAGCCAACTCTGGCCTCAGCACTTGTTTCAAGGGAGGCTCAGCCTGTGTGTGAATGAGGGGATGCCCTAGGTCCAGCCCACCTAGAACCACCTTCCCAGCAGCCTAGAGGGCTACCCTGGAGAGAATGAAGAAGGCAGGCTGCCTGGTGGGATTGCTATGGCAACAGTGCCTGCCTTTGGTCATAGCAATGAGCCCCTGAGACTTGGCTGCCCGATCAGCCCCTGAGGGTGGACATCCCTCAGTGGTGGGCTCTGAGAGCCCAGGGAAAAGGGGTAGTACTGTGAAAGGCAGGGTGGCTAGTGTACCCTCTTTTGGGAGGGAGGAATTGTTGCAGAACATGGAGGCGGAGAAGGGGTGTCTGGTGACCCTAAGTGTCTCGGGGCCCTGGAGGCTTATGGGAAGAAACACTCAGCCTTGCTTCCCTGGGTTCACCTGGTTGAAGCAAGAAATATGTCCCCTCACTCCACACCCCATGACTGATTGTGGCCTGTGTGGCCAGCTGAATGGCCAGGTCCTTTTGGAATCATCAGTGAACTAGGGAGGCCAGCCCCCCCTCCAGGAAGTCACTCCCCCCACAGAACCCCCAAGAAACTGCATGGTTGGCACCCCCTTTTTGCTCAGACTCGTGGCCTTCTTGGCCCAGCAGGTCAGGGGTAGGAGAGAGAATGGAGGCCCTGGAACACCGCCCAGTGCAGACAGGGAGGGGTGTGGACCTGGCCTGGGCCTGGGCAGCCCCTAAGCTGAATACAGGGCTGGGGAAGGCTCCCTACAGGAAACCCGGGAGTATCTAGCTGGCTGAGGCGACAGCTGGCCAGGGTATGTCCCCAACAGGAGTGACCTCAGTCCCTCTTTCCCCAGGACTAAGGGTTTCTCTGGAACATGGGACTTTAAACACTAAACCTGAGATGTGTGGTCACCCCACGGTTTACAGGGCTAGCTCCCTCCTAAGGGCCGATTCAGGACCAGGCATAGGGAAGGGTTGGGCCACGGCAGAGGCAGGGGCTGGGGCTCAGCACACCTGGGGCCAGCAGTTCTGGATTTTAGAGTCTGCTTGCCTCAAGACCTCAGAGAAACTGAGGCTCATAGAGATTAGTAAGTGGGGCTCCAAGAGGCAGAGACCACAGTGTCCTGTGGTCTGGGAAGTTCCCATTGGAGCTGGTGATACATGAAGGACCGCTCCCGGGAGACCATCCCAGGAGTTAAGGACCAGGAACACACTGCCCACCAGCCCCAGCCCACCTCCTAGGTAACCAGATACCAGGCCTGCAGCCCTGGCCAGGAGGGCCACCAGCCTCAGGCCTGCCAATGCTTAGCAGGATGGGACCTCACAAGGACCCAGTGGCCACAAACTCCCCTGTCCATGAGCTGGAGAAAGGCCAGAGACACTGCCCTGGGGAACCAGGGTCTGAGTCTCCTGTCTTCCTCGGGAGCTTTCTGACTCTTTCTGGGCTGTATCTAGGCTGGGACAAAAACAAATCAGTGCTCTCGAAAAGGGGATGGTCTCAGTAGAGTTTCTGGTAATAGCTGGGTTAGGAGCTCAAGATCCCAGACACAAACTGCAGTTCTCCACAGGTGGGGCCACCAGGTGGTAGGCTGATGGGGATGATACACCAAGGGGTCCAGGAGACCTCTGAACAGAGATCTGCTGTGTTTGACCTTGGGGGGGGAGGTACTGTAGGGGGAGAGGTAGCCCAGCCCTGCTATACCTCAGTCCCCTTGGCTGTGTTTCCAAGAGGAGCAACATTAATGGAGCATTATATATATATATTAATGAAGCATTTTATATATATATATATATGGACAGCATTATGGAACGTGAGTATCCTGAAACACTTCATTGTGTTCAGGAGGAACCTGTACATAGACCAAAAGGCAGTCATTCGAATAGAACAAGGGAACACTGGACAGTTAAAATCAGGAAAGGTGTGCGTCAAGGTTGTATTCTTTCACCATACTTATTCAATCTGGATGCTGAGCAAATAATCTAAGAAACCGGATTGTATGAAGAAAACGTGACATCAGTATGCAGATGATACAACCTTGCTTGCTGGAAGCAAAAGAAGATTTCAAATACTTAAGTGATGAAGAGCCAAGATCACCCTCTTCAGTATGGATTGCAGCTCCATGTGAAGAAAACAAAACCCTCTTAACTAGACCAACAAATAACATCATGGTATGTGGAAAAAGGACTGAAGTTGTCAAAGACTTCATTTTGCTTTGGATCCATAATCTTGTAACCAGCAAGTCAAGAAATCAAATGATGTATTGCATTAGGCAAATCTGTTGTAAAAGTGTTCAAGAGCCAAGATGTCACTTTGAGAACTAAGGTGTGCCTTCCTCAAGCCATGGTATAGTTAATGACCTCCTATGTATGTGAAAATTAGACAGTGAGCAAAGAAGACCATAGAAGAACCGATGCATTTGAGTGGTGGTGTTGGAGAAGAATATGAACAGTTCTAAGAACTGCTGGAAGAGCAAATGAATCTGTGTTGGAAGAAGTATAGCCAGAATGCTCTGTAGAAGTCAAGGTGGCCAGACTTGGTCTCCCACACTTTGGAGGTACCAGTCCCTGGAGAAGGGCATTGTGCTTGGTAAAGTGGAGGGACGGAGAAAAAGAGGCAGACTGCTAATGAGACGGATTGGCACAGTGGCAGCAGCAGTGGGCTCAAGCATAGCAGTGATTGTGAGGCTGGCACAGGACTGGTCAGGGTTTCATTCTGTTGTGCAAATGGTCACAGGGAGTTAGAGCTGACTCAACAGCACCTAACAACAACTAGGATGGCTCACGTAATTGTGAGGCTCACACTACAGACTGAACGCATCTCACGTGGTAGCAGGGGTTGATAAACCCCAAATCTGCAGGTCAGGCTGTAGGTGGAAGTTTCTTCGTGTCCCTACAACTGGAGGTCAGACAAGAAGAGTGTAGGATTGAGAGAGTAAGCTTTGCCCGAACATTTCAATCCTGGAAGCAGGCCTCGCCCCCCAAGGAATCTCCCCTTTCTTCTTTCTTTCTCTTTTTTTTAGATCGTGACACATTAAAATTTAATGCCAAGAAATAAAGAGGTATCACAAAGGGCAAACATAAGATCTGCAAAAATAGCATGGGCGAATATGGATGTTACAAAAAAGATCACAGTATCTTCTTGTCTTTAGATGATTACTATTGTGGGAAGCAGATAGCTGTACAAGACCTTTTGAAAGTGTTGAATAGCAGAGATGTCAGCTTGAGGACTAAGGTGAGCCTGACCCAAGCCATGGTGTTTTCAATAACCTCATATGCATGTGAAAGCTGGACAGTGAATAAGGAAGACCGTAGAAGAATTGATGCCTTTGAGTTATGGTGTTGGAGGAGAATATTGAAAGTGCCATGGGCTGCCAAAAGAACCAATAGATCCGTGTTGGAAGAAGTGCAGCCAGAGTGCTCCTTAGAGGCCAAGATGGCCAAACTTCATCTCTCATACTTTGGACATATTGTCAGGAAGGACCAGTCACTGGAGAAGGACATCATGTTTGGTAAGATGGAGGGTCAAAGAAAAAGAGGAAGACCCCCAACGAGATGGATTGGCCAAGTGACAGCAGCGATGGACTCAGGCATGGCAATAGTAGTGAGGTTGGCCCAGGATCAGGCAGTGTTTCGTTCTGCTGTGCATAAGGTCGCTGTGGGTCTGTAATGACTTGACGGCACCTAACAACAACAACAAGAA